TACTTGATAATCCGTCAGTTATAAATTATCCGACTGATTACCTGTTTAAACGTGATAAAAATCAGCATTGTCTTTAGAAGGCATACGGTTATTACGAGGTGAATAATTTATAGTTTTCGCGTGATTACTGTGTTACGGTATACTTTTAACTATATCATAGACATTTATAAAATTATTAAAATTATTATATACATATACATTTTTTTTTTATGACGATACTAATATAAATTTGCGTCACAATTTAAAATGAAGTCGTTTCAAAATCATTAAATTATTACATCATTTACATCATTTACATCATTTACAGGAACGGTTTTATTAATGTAGAGGATTCATTCAGGATGTATAGGTAATAACATCATTTGCTTAGTCACACACTGTTTTAGCCACAGTTAGAGATTGGATTTACGTAAAATTAATGATATTTTTTGCTAATATCATATTAGAATTTTTAAAAAGTCATATAATTGGGATTGTCTAATAATACATTAATATAACATCTAACGTAGTGATAGGGCATGAAAAAAATTACTGTGATGATCTGAAGTCATATGATTGCTTATTTATATGAAGTCACATGTTGAATATGCATAAAAATCTTGCGTAGGCTACCGAAAAAAAAAACTCTTTCCACAATTTTTCAAAATTTATAAAATGGCGCGGTAGAAATTTTAAAACTTCTAGTACCAACTACCCAAATGCGGACAAAAGAGTTTTACCCTTATTTCTGACCATATTTTTAAAACTTTTAATATATAAATATTAACCGTACTTTTATTATATACAAAACTTTCATTATTATGTCCTTTTCAAAACCTATCACTTTTCCTCCTTCGAAAAATCCTCTGCTCGTATCCCTGAGAATATTTCACGTGATCAAAACTAATACAAGAACTCAGGAAGATCTACGAAATTAGACGTTCAAGAAGTTTCTTCTTTGAGTTAGCAGATCGTAATACAAACATCACTTAAAGATACACACACATGAACACTTCACCTATTCGTTATAAATCAACAAGCAAATACCCCCATCACAAAAACCAAATTAGTACCATGCTCACACTTTTTTTCTTTACAAAAGTTTTACCACGACGTATTTAACAAAAATATTTCAACCTAATACTCTCAGACCGTATACAAATTATCATCATGCGCAGTCAGCGATTCAAATAGAAATATATCAACGCGAAATTTTTTTAATTTCTCTTACAATTGTTATCGATTTTATTTCGAAATTTATGTTCCTTGCAGCACTTATATGATATACCACCCAAGCCCATTTATAATGAATGTCACATGACAGACGTGCTTCCGTAACATCAAAAACATTTTTTCAAGTATCGTATATTTAAAGATATCGAATTTATTCGCGACGCTTGGGCGTGGAATATAGTGTCAAATATCAAGCGAATGGTCATAAAAATGTATTCACTCATGGCAACCGGTTTATGTACAAGAAGAAATTTATCAATTTTAAACATATTTATAGTAATAATGCACGTACTCGACGCAAACAATATCAAAGATTCCAACGCCGGTGTAAAAGAATTTTTAGACTCGGGAACCCTAACGCACCTGATACTCTTGAAGATAAATTAATCATGGCGAAGAAGCACCGTTTCCTTTTCCTTGAATCACAATATATAGATAAACCCATTAAACATCTGAAATATTCCAAAAAGACTAGTTTACCGGATGCTCAAGATTATCAATACCTGGTTCCTATTTTTTCTTTTAGTATACAGGCGCGTAAACGCATTGAATATAGCTACACCTGAGACTTCTACCACTACACCTGCTTCTACATCTGAGATAATTGATTATTGTCTTTAATCCGAATGAGAATATGAGACCGGATCTTCCTTCACCGATCCACACAGTTGAGTATTTTTGTGCCAGACCGTCTTCGTCCTTACATTCCATCACAACCTATTTACTCACCCAAAGGTGCAATATATTACGCTCCCGGTTCTACTGGTTGGTTCAAATATCTTGAAAAGAAAGTAGAATCTGCAGCGAAAGCTGCCATTAACCAGCAAGAACGTAAAGCAGATAGCACTTTTTTGATATAACTTTCTCCTCGGAAATGATAAAATCCGAATCCATTATAAATATTATAAATTGTTATTTTTTTTGGCGCTGCTTACAAATCATGTATTTTTTTTTTTCAGATCTAATCAAACAAATCGAACAAGAAAACAAATACAACGTAAAGCAGCATATCACGGGACGAGCGTTAAAAAACTCAACCGACGACAATGATATCAAGGATCATAACATCAACTTATGTCTTCCTTCTTAAAATGACGGGAGGTCGTTAAAAAACCTAACAAAATTGTACGACTACAAACTGAGATTGCTAATTTTCAATTAGAATATTTTGATATCATTACTCCTCATCAATCACATTATAGTAGCTTTCGACCAGATACGTCTAACGACACAAAACGATTAGAAGTGACTACCATTAATTCTAATCTGGCCTTGCAACGTTCGTTACATCAAGAGAAGAAATTACGTTCGTCGACCAGGTCCCCTCATGACTCCCCAGTCGTTGGACCATCTATTTCTAAATAGATTATTTCTTCATTTTTATTTTTATTTTTTATTTTTTATTTTTTCTTTAATATAATGAGTCATCATACCCCTTAGGTTAGTAGAAACACTATAACATTAACATTTGAAACAACAGGTGGCAATCTCGGTTGAAAGCAATATACGGATCATTTGATTGTTTTATTATTATTTTTCTCATGTATATAATTTAGATAGATTTATTGTTTCGTTTAACTCGTCCTTTTATGATATAGATTAGAATTCAGGCTACGCCTCGGATTTAAATAACTCCGCTAGGAGATTTGGTTTAATAACGTTATGTATAGTTTAGCTTACCATTTGTAATGGTAATAACATACAGTTGTTATTGTCCCAGTCTATATCTATATCTAATAAAATAAAAAAAAAAAAAAAGCTATTCGAAAAAATTTAGATTCTCGTGACCCGACCGGGTCAGTTTTTCGATTTTTTTTTATGATAGTAAAAATTTTTTTATCACGTGATTTTAAGTTTTTGGCCAATGTGCGTAAAAAATTTTACATATGAAAAAAATTTACATATATAAAAAAAAATGCCCGGCCGGCCGGGTCATTTGTATTATTTATTTCATGGGGAGTTGGAAATAATAGGGTTTTTTTCCCGAAGGGAAAAAAGCCCTATTGTTTTCCTTCCCAGGAAATAAATGGGTAATCCCCTGGAGCGTGTCACTCATTAAATATTAACTATTTTAACTATTTTAAACTAAAATTAGTAATTTTCCGGCTATCTATATGAGACCGGGAAATAACTAAACGAAGATTCCCGGTTATTTATAAACTCAACTAATCACTCGCAATTTTTAAAAATTAGTATGAAGGTGATCATGAGTGACACTTAGTGCGACAGGGGATTATAAAATTTATGTCACGAGAATCTAAAAATTTTTTTTGCCCGGCCTTATAAAATTTTTGACCTTTCTTGTTACACACATACCTACATAAGTTGATATATGAGAAATTTCTGTCCCACATACCCGACGATATTATTCTCTAAAAACATATCTGATATACAAAAAATAACGTCATTAACCAAAATAAGTTTTGTATTGTTTTAAATAATTCCGGCCTCCCTGATTTGAACTTTTTTGGAAATCAATTTCCTTAGATGTTAGTTCAGACGACTTAATTGTCACGCCCATACATAATATAAATAATAACGGGCGATAAATGATGTGTGATGATTAATGTGGTGAAGTTGCAGGTATTGTACTGTACATGCGCTAAATTGAAAACTTTTTAAACAATTAAATAATTAATTGGGCCAGTATTGGGCCCAGTGTATATATTATTAAGGAATAATTTGTTTTATTTGTTTTATTTGTTTTCTAAATAGTTATCACGTCATAGTCGTCATTTGTTTGACGTTAATCGTTTTATTTAAAAATTATCACATCATATTTGTATAACACTAATTTTCATTATAATACAAGTAGGAAAGAATACACCCTCTCCATTTTCAAATTTTTCTAAGTACCTCAGATAAAATATTTTGGTAAACTAATAGTGTGAATTATCAAAAATTCAATATGATATACGGGATATCGTTTTATTATAGAGAACTTAATATGACAAATTATAAATTAATTTCATAAATTTCAATTTTAATGTGAATATGTCTGACATATGAATTTCGTTTTAATACAATTATGCAAATTTTTTTATTATTACGAATTACGAATATTAACAAATTTACGATAAAATATAACATAATTAGGGGAGCCCAAACACGACGGCACGAGATTTGAACGACTTTGTCAAACACATCAAAGGAAAGACTTGTTACATACCAACCAACCCGACCACGGGCCGTAATTTACGATATGCAATCGTTTACACGTACGGAACCCAAAAACAAGGTCCATAAACATCAGGAATTTTTTTCCGTTTAAAATCCACATGGAAATCCACATTAAATACTGTGGAAATATGTGGAAATCTAAATAGTTCCAGTATTTTCCGAATATCCTGTGACGAAACACGTGGTATTTTCGGCATAAGTTTACGAAATTCGGTGTGGATCCATGTAGGATATTGGGAATGTGTGGAATTCCACGTATTTCTGAGCAAACCCACGTGGAATTACATGGACCGACCCACCTAAAAACTTCCTGATGAAGTAGAACGTTATAAGATAGGAGATTCTAATCTGTTCGTAACACCTTGGGGAATCAATATTGCACTATCTGTGGGAGCACAGAGCATAATTTTATCAATTGTGATAAAAAACCTTCAAGAGAGCATTTCCTCCGTAACAAGGACAATAAAAAACTTACAGAAACAGGTCAGAACACATCGAATGCAACTGTCTCCCACAAACTCAACAGATACCTTCCGTTACAGATATTTAGCCGGTGCTATTAGTCCTGTTACACGCTATCCAATAAGGGAACCGCGAAGACCAAACAAATGTTAAACAGCAAAAAATGGATTTTAACTAAGGAACAGATAGCTTATAACAACGGTTTTGAAAGAAGAATCGAAAGACTCGAAAACAATCTCAAAAGCGCACAAGAACACAGTAATAATCTTAAAGCCAAAATTAACCAGCTTACGTCTACCATCGAAATCCAACGACATTGGATCGATGAATTACAACAGAAACACAATACTTTCATTGAAAATGAAGAAACGATTATCTCACGCCTCACGTCAAATGAGGATGGATTGAGGAAGTAATTAATCTCAATCAAAGAAAGGAGGAGTTGATTGAGGATATGCATTCAGTAGGTACTTTTTTGTAAGAGGTAATTAATTTGGACGAAAAAATTGCGAGAAGCCTAGGATAGATTCACGAAGACGAGGTATGTTCATGGTCGGATGAAGAATGTGTTGGAAAACGTAAAGTATCTTGTCCAGTTACAAGCCACGTTAACGATTAAGGATACGGTTAAAGTAGAAATTCACCTAAAGCATGAAAAATGAAGACGACTTTAGTAAATACAAAAGAGCGTATGGGCAGTTATTTACAACAATAAGTCTATTTTCTCAGGTAGCTTTCGGTAAACCGTTAAAGGACCATTATAAGAAGATAGAAGATAATGATATAATTATAAAACTAAGCAAAAAGTATGGCTTTGGTTTGAGAAAAAAGTTATTTTCAACGGGAATTTATATTTCTAGCATGTTTTTGGTCAAAACAAAAAAGGAAGGAAATGGTTGAACAGTCGTTAGAAGAATAATGTCTGGAAGAAGCATGAACCATAAATTTAAATTTTAGATTTGATAGTAAAACTCCTTCTTCGGACGGTTCAGGTTACGGATGAAAACTTACAAGAATGGTGTATTTCATGATAAGAATGGGATAAAGCGTGTAGAAAAGATTTACTCACGCGAAAGGTAGAAGAATTTAATGATTTGAGTACGAAGTTCGCTTCAAGATTAGACCAAGGGAAGCATACAGAAGTCACAGAAGTTCGACTACAACGGATAATAAATGTAATAATAATAGGTTAGATAGAGAGAAATAACTAATTTGTAAATTTCTTTTTCTAATTTTTTATATATATCAAGATCAAATTCATTATTTAATAATAATTTTATTAATAAAAAACTAATATAATTAAATAATGATGATGATGATGATGATTGATTTGGCAAAATTTGTTTTAACCCCCGTTTTTGTCCCTGTCACTTTATTTCCTTTTTTTTTGAATATATCACGATTTATGTAACACTACCTATTTGACCTCTAAAATATGCCAAATAAATAAAATGACACGTAGGATCACGTAACATTTGCGAGTTATGCAACGCGAAGTACTTAAACGGTTTCCGTTTTCCTAGTTAATAATAAACGCGAAAAGTTATAAATAGTTGTTACAAAAATTTTTTTTGTATACTAAACGCGTTTATAAAAAGACTGCAAACGCGAAATTGCACATTGATAACCGGCGGCTCATCCGGCCGAAATAAACTAAAATTCTTTTTAGTTAATAAGAAAGTTTTTAAAAAAAGGTTTAAAAGGTTTGAGAACGTTAATGACGTTCTTTTATATTTTTTTTTAAAAAAGGGTTGAGAACGTTAATAACGTTCTTTTATATTTTTTTTTTTTAAAAAAAAGGTTTGAGAACGTTAATAACGTTCTTACAGTATATATATATTTTTTTTAGGAATTGTCTCGAATTTTAGAATAAGTAAATAGCGAAGGATTAAAATTTAACGTTAACAGTTAAGACCGTTTTTCAATGTTTTTATTTTTGTTTTTTTGTAAGATGTGACTGGTGAACAAATAGAATGGATTTTTTTTTTAAATTCAATAAAAAGGACGTTTATTAACATACCTTCTTGTATTAGGGACCTTATGCTTATGCTTACTTTTATTAATGGCTCTTAGCCAACTCAATTCTAATCCGTTGAATCAAATTAGCTTTCTAGGCTAACTGCTGCAATGGGTAAGAATTTAAGGGTTAATTCTAATCCATTTTAATAGAGTGGCTTTCTAGGTTAATTGTTGCAATGGATGAGAATTTAAAGGCTTCTAGCCAACTTAATTTTTTTTTTATCCTGATCAATGTTGCTGCACCTCAACGTTGGTGATTGGGTGACAACAAGTTTTTTAAAAAGCTTGGCTAAGTCAGCAACAAGAAGCTGATTTAATTCTAATCCATTGAAGCAGAGTTGCTTTCTAGGTTAACTGCTGCAATGAATGAGAATTTAAGAGCTTCTAGCCGATTCAATTCTAATCTATTTCAGTAGAGTGGCCTTCTAGGTTAGCTGCTGCAATAAATGAGAATTAAAGGGTAATTCTAATCCATTGGAGCAGAGTGGCCTTCTAGGTTAACTGCACAATGGATGCGAATTAAAGGGACAATTCTAATCTGTTGGAGCAGAGTGGCCTTCTAGGTTAACTGCACAATGGATGCGAATTAAAGGGACAATTCTAATCCATTGGAGCAGAGTGGCCTTCTAGGTTAACTACACAATGGATGCGAATTAAAGGGACAATTCTAATCCTTTGGAGCAGAGTGGCCTTCTAGGTTAACTGCACAATGGATGCGAATTAAAGGGACAATTCTAATCCGTTGGAGCAGAGTGGCCTTCTAGGTTAACTGCACAATGGATGCGAATTAAAGGGACAATTCTAATCCATTGGAGCAGAGTGGCCTTCTAGGTTAACTGCACAATGGATGCGAATTAAAGGGTAATTCTAATCCATTGGAGCAGAGTGGCCTTCTAGGTTAACTGCACAATGGATGCGAATTAAAGGGTAATTCTAATCCATTGGAGCAGAGTGGCCTTCTAGGTTAACTGCACAATGGATGCGAATTAAAGGGTAATTCTAATCCATTGGAGCAGAGTGGCCTTCTAGGTTAACTGCACAATGGATGCGAATTAAAGGGTAATTCTAATCCATTGGAGCAGAGTGGCCTTCTAGGTTAACTGCACAATGGATGCGAATTAAAGGGTAATTCTAATCTGTTGAAGCAGAGTGGCCTTCTAGGTTAATTGTTGCAATGGATGAGAATTTAAAGGCTTCTAGCCAACTTAACTTTTTTTTATCCTGATCAATGTTGCTGCACCTCAACGTTGGTGATTGGGTGACAACAAGTTTTTTTAAAAGACTTGGCTAAGTCAGCAACAATATATGGAACCAATAATATTGTTATATTATTCTTATACAGAGTATAATTTCTTATCCATTGAAACAGGTTGGGGTTGGGAGTTTTGGCTTATACAATGGATGAAAATTATGTGACACCCATTAACCTTCTGTTACAACGAGTGTAAATTATGAGAAAACATGGAGGTTATTGGATGTTGAAGACATTGAGAATGTTGGTATTATATCTGTATTGTTGTTACCCTGCAGTAAAAACTCAGTGATATATTTATAGAAATAACAAACACGAATAAATTTTTTATAGGGATATCATATTGTTGATTTTGATGGTAACTGGTTGTCTATTGAAATTAGTCATTACATCACATTCATTATAGTTCTGTATATTTATACTATTATTTCTGATGATAAAATTTTTTCGTTTCAGTTATATTTTATTTCTTGCTTTTTGTTTTTGTTTTTGTTTTTTAATTGGACTTTATCTTTTGCAAAGGGTTATTGATAATAATTTGATAGTCATTTAACAGCCTTATTATTTATTACAATCATAAATTAAAGTTTTTTAGTATAGAATTTCACGCATGCTAATAAGACTATTAAAAATGAAACTGAATTCGTTGTACAAGTGTATTCCTTTCTAATGATATTTATTAATTACATTATAATCATTAGCTTCTGAATTTTCCAAAACTTTAATAACAATATCAAGCCTATTCTTGCAACGAATTTAACGAGAATTTTCCTAAATTAATTTAAATTGTTTTTTTTTGGTAATCGCACTCTTGACTATTCTGATTAATGAAATTTATTTTAGAAGCAGGCTACTTAGTTACAGTCACGCGTGTTCCTACTGTCGTCCAGATGTTTGGAGGCAATCTGCTGAGCTTTCTTTAAGCATCCATGTTTAAGGCCCTAGTCCCTGCATACTTTCCCCAGATGCGTCTCACTACAGTATACCTACTCCCTATAAGAAATATGTATACGGAAAGGATACATTTTGTATACATTTTATGTACGTTTCTATAGATTCCGTATACAAATTCCGTATATTTAATAAGCAATTCATTTTTGAACATTTTTTAAAATTAATCATACGGAATGTATATAGAATTTTTAAACTTAGAAAATAATTTTACAAAAATCTCGTATCATAAAACGAGATCACGTGATTGTTTATTGTTTTGTTTTTTGTTTTTATATAAACCCTTACTTTGATGAGTTTGATCTTCCGATCTTCCTTTCTGTCTTTCCTTCCTTCTCTTTTCTCTTGTCTTATTTTTGTTATTTTTTCTAAATTTTTCTTCTTTTTTCGTCACCCCCCTTTTAAAAAAAAAATTTTTTTTTCGTACCTCACTTTAAAAATTTTTTTTTTTCATCACTCTCCTAGATGTGTATAAGAGACAGATTCTAATCCATTGGAGCAGAGTGGCCTTCTAGGTTAACTGC